CGCCCCGTCCCCTCCCCCCCACACCCCCCCCTGCCGCCATTTTAGTAGTTTTTAGCTCCCCGGCGCCTCCTCCCGCAGCACGGCCGAGTGGAGGCGCGGGAACTACGATGCCCATCATGCCTTGCGCGAGACCCTCTTGGCCCACCTCCCTGGAAGCCATGGGAAATGTAGTTGCCGGCGTTTTCTGCGAATTAAGAAACTACAATTCCTGTCAGCCTTTGCGCTCGCCTTTCCTTTTATGCCGTCTCCGCCTCCAATTGCGGGGGGGGGGGTAGACGGGACATGTAGTTGGCGCGAACGCCTCAGGCGGGACAAGAACTACCCGTCCCAGCAGGCAAGGCGCCAGCGTTCCCTCAAGCGACGCCAGTGTCTTGCCCCGCAGGTCTCTGGGATGCGCAGTTCGCAAAGGCTGCGGGAGGGCAGCGCCGCCGAAGGGCTGCTCCCCGTTCCCTCATCCCACACGAGGGTCGTTTCTGATGGGGACGGGCAGCAGCCGTGTGGGACGCTGCCTCGCCAGGGGACATGAGCCTGTCCCGGGCGCTCCCAGGGGCCGCCTGCGCCCGTCGTCGTCGAAGGGCCAGCCCGGCCGGCGGGGGGCGGCGCGGCGGGCGCTGAGGAGAGCGGGCCCGGCGCGGGTGTCACCTCACTGGGTTTCCCGCCTCCCTTAAGGACTGAGCCTCTGGAGTCAGGTGAAGACATGCTCGTTTTAGCTTTTATCTACGCAAAATTGCACCTACCTAGTCCTGGAAAGCATAGGTGCGGAATGACAACACAGTGATGGCACCTGTGTTGGGTCAGTAAACCTCCCAAATGAAGCTCACCTGAGGTGAGAGCCAATGTTTCTGTACGTGTCCAGCTGTAAGTTGACAGGATGCGTTAAAAGTTCCAATTCTGGCAATTCTACAGCACACTTTGACTTCTTTATTATAATTGAAAAAAAAAAAATCCAGGTATGCCAAATTCATTAGGACTTGTCGAGTTCTGAGGTCCTTGACTGGTAAGACTAGTAGAACGTATTAAAAAAAAAAAAAGGCAACAAAAAACTAAAACAAACCCAAACCCATTGCTTGAAGTTAAGTATGTCTGGAGGAGACAGGGAGGAACAGAGCGGAAATGAGTAGATTTTGGTTAGTAGGCTGCACATGGCTGTGGCAGCTTTTCATGTTGGAAGGTTCAGCGTTAAGTGCTTATAACTAAATGAAGTGAGTGCTTGGGAGAAGGGAGTTTCTTGGAGTGCTCACATGCGAGGACTGAGTCATCTGCAGCACTATTTATATTGAACACTGTAGGGCAGGTTACGGAGTTGTTTTGAAAGCAGATGGGCTTAGAACTAAAATGTAAAGATCTCCATTCAGTACAAAATCCTGTGCATTTTTGGTGGGAGAATGACACGAACTCCCCTGAAGTGGCATTTACGTAACATAATCCTGACACAAGAATCAGATGGTTTCTGGCTGCACACCAGCAGCAACATGTACACCCTTGACAAGCAAAAAATACTACATGGCAGGCAATACATGTGTTAATAGAAAAAAGTGCTGTGTTAATGAAAAATGTGCTTCCAATTGATCACATTCAGGGAAAACACTAGTGTACAGGGCAGCACTTATAAAAATAAAAAAAGAAAAATCCCCACTGACATCACAGATAATTCATTTTGAAAGAAAAAAATGTAATTCATAACAAAAGACTATACACCTCTGCTAATTGGAAGTCTTTCCTTCAAGCACCAAGAGCTTACACTCACCAGAGCCTGAAGAATGAGTTTTAAAGACCTTGTGAAAGCCACTCTCTGGTTATTCTCTGGTGCAGATCTCCTTTCCAGTTTTCAGACACACATTGCTAGGGCCTCTGTTGTTCAAAGAATATAATTAAGGAAGATTCTCACTAGTGTTACTGTTGTAATATTTAGAATGTTGTTAAACTAAAAGTAGAAGTTTCTCAGCTGTGTGTGGCAATCACGTTTCTGTTTTAAAAAAAAAAAGTCATATGCAGTCCCACTGAGGGCTGGAATAGGATATGATCCTTTTTTATCAGGGGAATGGAGGAAGGAGTTTGAAGTAAAGCTACAGGAGTAAGAAATAAGTTTCCGAAGCAGCTAGTATCATAAGGAATACCTCAATATAGGTTTGTTTGGTTTTTTTTTTTATTTATGTGGGTTTTTTGTTGTTGTGGGGTTTTTTGTTTGTTTGTTTTAAATACTAACTTTTGCCTGTTAGGTAACATTTATTAACCCCTAGGTATCAAATACATTTCTTTTAGTATGGAAACAAGGTAACACCATTTGGAACAAACCAGCTCATGGGTTACTACTGTTGAATAATAGATATCTAAGTCCAGTGGAAACCAAGCTTCATGAATTCTGCTGACAGAGTGGCTTGTTATTGTACACTTTTTACCGTCATTATGAGCATTTAATAGCTCAGGTTTATAATGACTGCAGTGCTGTATTGCAAGCTTGTTTTTTGTTTGAGCCTTGACACAGCCTACAAGTCAGGAAAGGCTTAACTGGAGGCAGGTACTGTATTTTCAGAGCATTTAAGACTTACCTTAAGATTACCAGCACACAGAACATGTAGGCAGCAATTCTTACATACACTTTGGCATTCCTTAGAAAGGCTTCTTGAAGGTTTTTGAAATGGAGCTTCATTCTGCCAGGTCCTAAAGTCCCAAGTCATTTTTTTTTTTTTTTTCTTTTTTTTGGGGGGTGGGGGTGGTGGTGGTGCAGGGAGTGGGGCCAAATATGTGTTTGATCAGAGGGATGGAAGTATGTATTACCGCTGATCTCAGGGGAGAAGAATTACTTGTGTTATCCAACATTCCTTCCTTCCCTGACAGGTACTTATTCCCTAGGTACTTGCTAGGATATAAACAATTAGTCCACAGAATTCAGAAGATGCCAGATGTCCTTCAGAGTGTACGAACCTGTTTTACAGGCTGTGCCGCACATAGGAATTGTGTAAACTCAAACACTAAATTTTTAACAGGGCTAGTAGTTTGTTTTTCCACTTACGAACAGCTGGTACTCAAAACAAAACCTAAGTGGAATCATGATAATTTTACTGGCAAAATATGTACTGGAATGTAAATGGTCATGTTCTCTTGAGGTTTTAAAGCATTATAAAAGCTTTTCTTGTTTAAATCTCTTTTGCATCAAAATGTTTAGGTCTTCACTTAATAAATATTAAAAAGCTTTTCTTATTGAGAACCACCCATATACATCCATCATCACATCATGACTGACCTAAATTATCAAAGCACTGCTTAGAAAAGAATTGGCTGGACCACCTCAGGGTTAACATGTCAGGACTGGGGTGCAGAGAAACTGTTTCCCCCCCAGTCACAGTTCTACCCATCCTTGCACTGCCTTCTAGCTGTTGTTAGACGCTTTGCTGAGTCAGTCTATCTCACTAGATTTAGCTACAGAACAATCCACTTTCTTTTTCCTCCTGGGTTACTGAGATGAATCAACTCTTAAGAGGTGTTTGACAAATGCCAAAGCTGGTATAAAGTAAGAATGGGGAACGGGACTTCTTTTTTAATGAGAGCAAGCTATTCACATATTAAGCTACCTCAAGGTAGTTTCACCACTAGTTTGCAGCTTGTGATAAGTCAATCCTATAGCAGTGAAATGGAGATCCTCATTCATATGATATTAGGAATAGTATTGTGTACTTCAGTAATAACTTTCATCCAAGGTTCCCACAAGCACTTTACACCCTAGCAGATGTACCAATGAAGTACCAATGTTTAGTTACGTGAACTGAAGCAGAAAAGAAAGATACGCTTCACTAAAAGGCTTCAAGCAGTTAACAGCTCACCACCAACAGGTAAGCTTATTGAACTCCATAAAATAGCAGCGGTCTAAGGGGGAACGAGAGTGGTTTTAGGGTCCTGGGTTACGAGTGAATTGACTTAGTTTAGCTTGAGATCAGGTAAGTTCCTGAGCTGCTGCAAAATGGGAAAGAAAGCATTTGGCTGAGATTGGGAGGAGCAGGAAAGGAGTAAGACTTCCCTTTCTGGTGTGGCAGCAAGCTGAAATTCAACTGACGCACTGCAAGCCGTGCCCTGAAATTTAAAAGTATTCAAATATGTACATTAGTTATGCACTTAAACGAGTAGCCTGTTATTTAGAATTGCTTTGAAGTCAGAATGAGCCTTTAAAAACAAAGCCAAAAGAATAAGTTATTTACCCAGGAGGAAGAAAAGACAAGAGTTACAAGGTAAATTATTAAAAGAAAAATATAGGAAACTTTGCTCAGATATGAAAGTGCTATTCTAGAAGTATAGCTCTTTATCTGAGGCTTATGTGAAAGAACAATCTCAAAAGACATTCTAGAAATTAAGTTTAGCATTACTTAGAAGAAGTAGGTGGAGTTAAATGAGTCCAGAAAATTTTTTTGGAAAAAGTGAATTAAGGCTGTACCTAAGTACAGCTGATAGACCCCTTGAAGGCTGTGTAAGAGTTTTTCTAAATACTTTTCATATTAATGAGGCCTGACACAGAACTGAAAATACTGAACTAGTTTAAGTTTGATTAGGTACCAGGAGATTACAAATTAATATTCATAAACTCTGGCAAATTCTCTTTCCAGGTAGTCTGTGGAGACGTAGCTCAGAACTAGAGAACAAAAAACACACTGTGTTTCACCATGATGGCTTTTTCAAGAGCCAAGTCTATCCTAAGCTTTGCTCGTGTTCCTGGAAGCATAAGTGAGTTATAAAGAGGCTTTTATGTTTGCACAAGGCCATGTAAAATCCAAACTAAGATATCTTGACCTGGAAACGTCTTTTCACTGATTTGTTTGTTCTAACCCTGCTATTTAATAAATGCTGTTTCTGACCTATTACTCTCCCTCTGCTGGACACTCACATAATTGCTCTATTTGTGTTTTAACATTAATGTATTTTACGCTATTTGAATGGAAGAGATTAAAATAAAAGTCTCCTTTGGTTTTCCAAATGTTTGAGGTCTCCAATCTAGACTTAAAGCCTTTATTTTAGAGCAGTTAAAGCACATATTTCAGGTTTCAAAAAAACCATAAAATTAATTGTTTTTACTTTAGATAGCAAAAGAAATACATGGACCTATATACCAAAATACCAGCTTATAGTTCTCTGTGTCTATCTCCTTACCTCTCAAACGGTTCATATGCTCAGCTTATTATTTTCCAAGGTAATCACACATCTCTCACTTTTGTATGTATACAAACCCTTTATTTCTCTTACTTGTGTATCTCTAGAAATAAAGAATGAAAGGTCATCCGTTTTACAAGTGCCACCCCCTTTCTTCAGGTTACTTTAATTGGAGGCTCAGAGTTCTCAGCTGTGTGATCTAATGCTTAGTTAGCCTGTTGTTTAGATTTGAGAAATCTGTAAGTTGAGTGCTAGCTAGTTCTTTTTTCAAGGTTCCCCTCTTCAAATGCACAGTCACTACAGTTTACTCCTTAGACAGAATTTCTTCTGTGGTTTAGATACCATGAAGCTCCAGACTGATAAAAAGTAGGGGGAGAGTGGTTTAGGTAAGTAGTTTTGCTATTAAAACTGTTTGTTATGTGTGGGTTTTTTTGCTATCAAAGCTCAAAATAAACAAAGATGTGTGTTTAGGTGTGCACGTTGGGAAGAATCTATACATAGTTTATAAACCTTATGACAGTTGAAAATGTTGTAAACAGCAGAAGGATTGCTTAATGTGGAAGGAATGTGCTGAGCAAAGAACATGCATCCAAGGAAGGGAAAAATGAGATCACTTCAATGATATATACAGTGACTGAGTTAGGATTGGAAAGGTTAGAGACAAGAGGGAATCTATTTTGAAGAAAGGCAGAGATTGTGTGGTTCTAGAGATCTGAAAGTCAGGTGTAGGATTGGTGGGAGGAGGCATCACGTCAGTTAAGATACTGAACCAGCTGAAAATAAATCCTGTTAAGTACAATGCAGACCTCTGTTCAATTGTTCTTGTGCTTTCATCTTGATTAATAACATGGTAATTAGTAAATTAACCTGCTGCTTTGTTAGAGTAAATTTGTTTTCACCTGTAAATCTGTTGGATGGGGAGAATAAATATTACAAGCATAAGATACATAGATTCTCTGGAAGTGATGAATGGAAACAGAGGATAATTTTGTTCCCTGTGGCCTGAGACAGATTTGAGAATCTCAGGGGCTGGGATGCTGAGGTGATCGAGCAACAATGATAACTTTTAAGTGCCAGATCCTCAGGAGATTTTCTTCCACTGGCTGTAAGCTAGTATTGTTCTAGCAGGAGACAAGTAACAGAGAGAATTTGCAATTCTGGATACCATCAAATTGTCAGTCTTGTAGCTTGATACAGAGGTAAAAAAAATGTAGGAAAGGTGGCTGGCATTTAAAGTGGGGCTTACAGTCTAACACAGATGCACAAGGTGAGTCCCCACTAGCAAACAGAGTTCAGTTGTACTTTATATACTTTTTCTAGACTGTTAATAAAGAATGTTTTTGTGAGATAATGAAAACGTTGAACTTAGCACTGAAAATATCAATACAGGGTGTTAATGCAGGGTATGTAACATGCTGTTTATTCACACCCTTTCTTATTGAAGTGACTCCCTGACAGGGAGAAGCTCAGAGCTGCTATGTCCACTGTTGGGTTCCATAACAACTCTAGGCCAGATCTCCTGCCTTATACATGTGGTAAGAGTTTTATAACACTTGTGTTTTACATGGTATCTGTCTGTCTCTAGGGAGGTGGGAATACAAAACTAGTTCCATGTGGGATTTTCATGTGCTTTCTTTTCCTCTTCTTAATTCTCCAGAATTCCAGCTGAGGGAGCATTTTGTCCATTAGAGATCCCTTAAGATTTTAGTTTTGGTAATGACTGAAGCAAAATGGCATTATTGTGATGAAGAAAGAATAACAGTGTCATGGTATTTTTAAAGCTGTTCTTCTATAGCTAGTTAACATGTTCACATTTTTGCAGAAAATAATTACTTCATTATGACATTGTGAGAATGAAATAGTGAGCTAATTTCTAAATAGGACTAATTATTCCAGAATTATTCTGTGCCAGTATTTTTATTCCAGAGAAGGCAATTTGCATGGGGAATTATTCCAGAATAGGGATGGCTAAATCAATTACAGTTTCCCTTCTGTCTTGAGAGAGAGCGCATATTGGTACTGTGATGTTGTACATGGGAATTTGAAATAAAGTAATTGCGTGTTACCTAAACTTGTCCACAAACACTTGAATAGCTAGAGGATTTAGTTAAAATTATCAGAAGAAAAATTCTTGTTAGACTTTAGTGTATGCCAAGCACTTTTTGTCATTCATAGTTGTTCGTGCATTTATTTTTGTTCTAACTCCTGTTGGCATTATACCACTGATTAGTTTTAGTTTGTTTTGTCCATCTGCAAAGTCACTAAAATAGTACTATGTGGGAGATTATTTTTCCAACACAAAATGAAAGTGCTTACATGAAAAAATGAAGAAAAAAATTAAGTTTACATTCTGTAAAAACTATTGCACCAACATAAAAATGTCACTGGCATTCTACTAAGTATTAGCTTAATCCAAACTTGCTTGCACAATTATTGTTTTATGCATTGTCCTTAGTAGTTACATAACTATGTTGGCACATGTGGAACGTCAAGACAAATGAAAAGGTATATTTCCCCAGAGGGTTTATTAACACTGCTTTTCTGTGCTATGCACTTAATCTTTTCCATAACTTGGTTCCTAGCTAGGTAAACTTTGAATGTAGTAACAGATACAGAAGTTGTCTGAGATTTAGTTGACAATGTTTATACTATTGTTATTTTAATTACTATTTTTAAGGGACATTTTTCTCTTCAGTTGTTTTCTTCTTTAATCTTTTTTGGAAATACCAGATGTGGCAACAGCAACATCACTCTTTTCAAAGCAGTGGTCTAATTAAAGTGTGCTGAACCAAACAGGCAAAATGCACATTGTTCTTGATTTTGCACTGTGCCCAAACGACATTAAACAATATTGTGTCTAAAAAGAGCATTGTTCTGTGCAGCTTGTAAAAGTTAATGAACATGGTGAATCCTTTAATAACCCTTTCCTTTTGTTTATTAGCAGTGTGTACCCCATTCCTAGAACAACTTATCTCCTCCCTGCCATACAGTTGAAGCATACGCTTAACAAAATACGGATTTCTGAAAATAACTGTTTCGGAAAGTTTTAATGCTTTTTTAGGAAATAACTGTCTGTAAGACTGCTGTTCCTTGAAGTGCAGTAACTTTTGGGAAGAAAAACTGGTGGTTTTTTTTCTATGTACATTGATCCCTCAGATTTTTAGGATTGTTGTGATGAGGTGATTTATAGGGGATTTTTTTTCTTTGGATTTTTTTCTATAAATAGCTTTAGAGAATTGGAGAAGACCCAGATCAAGCCTGTACGATAAGGCTTGACAGCTTAGGTCAGTTGCCTTAGTGAGTGGAAAAAAAAAATTACATGTGCTACCCAGAAGAGCTGTGCCAGCACAAAACGACAATGTAGAAGCAACTATACAGCCAGAAGAATTCCTTTGTCAGCCTAGCTAATGTTGTTTGTGAAAGGAATGTAATAGGCCTAGCAGAAAACCCTCTTTCTCTTGGTAAGTGCTATGTAATTATGCCAGCAGAATTTCTGAAGTACAGTCAGGCAAAAAAGCTGGCACAAGCATGAACAGAGAAACCCCAAAGCAGTGTCAGAACAAAGCTTTGTTGTTGAAGTTATGTGTGGTAAATAGACCTTAATCTACTGTTCTGTGAAAGATTAATTTCAATCTTTGTTTAATTATTGCCATAATGGTATTACTTTCTTCATTTTTTTCCATTCAGAGTTTTCGTTTTATTATTTCGGTGTTGAAACGCACAATAGCTTTTTTCAAATTAAATAGTGAAAGATAAAATTCTCCTTACCTTTTTCAGGTGACTAATTTCTGTCACATAAGTAATACCAATTTAACACATGTTAAAAATGGGCACTGACATGGATTTCTGGAAGTTTTAGGCTTCTGCAGATGTTTAAGGAAATGAACAGCCAAATTTGGGTTCATGTCAGGAAATGCTCTGGCTGGATGCTCAGTGCTTGGTATGCTTGTATTCTGCCAAAGTGGCATGTAACTCTAGGTCTTCTGCTCACATGACAGAAGGTTGTAAACCTAGAGTGTGTGTGTACAGCTCCAAAATACTACCTCCTGGTCTGTGCTGTTACCTACCTGTGCTCCCTTCACCAGTAAAAATTACTTGATTTCTTGAAATCCTGTTCAGTAGTTTGATACCCTAATAGAACTGTCAGTATGCTAAAATTATTATTCTAAACAACAAATAGATGTTTTACTGCTTCCAGATGTAGATTTGAAGTTCAGAGAGGAGTTGTCAGTGTTTGATAATCATAATAGGAGAGCAAAGAAGAGTATTTCACACTGGTCTTTATACAATTGTCCCTGGGTGTCACTCTTGAGTCAGACTGAAACACTTTAGAAGCAAATCTGAGAATTGTTTTTCCTTTTCTTCTTTCTGTTGTTTCTGCAGGTGACACTTTTCTTCTTAAATTTATTTCCCATTACTCTCCATAATGATGTCAACTCCAGCAGGCCAGCTTAACTTGTCTGAATTATATTATTCTTAGAGGATATCTTGGGGAGTTTTTGAACTTAAGTTACAGTAATGTAACAGCAGAAATACCTCCCTGGCAACACTTTCTGGATTTGCAGTTAAATGACCGATTACTATATTGATAAATCTTTTCTTATTTTGTACAACTCTACTAATTTCTGTCAGCCTTTTGGAGCAAAATCAAGTGATGAGGAGAAAGCATTTGTTAGTATCAACATGTAATTCTATGTGGAAAGCCAATGCAAGCCCTGTAAATGCCATAACGGAGAAAAAGCTGAAATGTAACTTCACTGTTAAATAAGCTATATATTTATTATTCCCTAAAGGTAAGTATTGCTGTAGGAGAACCATCAGTATATCCAGTCATCTCAGACATATTTTTTTTTGTGTGTGTGCACAGCCTATATATAACAAAACAGTGTGCTGCTTAGAGGATTTAATATGTATTATACAAGGCAGTGGATAAATTATTAGCAAAACATAACTACAGTTTCTAAGTAACAATATCCTTATCTTAATGTCACTTAATACATTTATTCTTAGTGCTTCTGGTTTTTGTTTCATTTGTTGGCTGAATCCAAGATTCTACTTTATAAACAGCTTCTGAATTCAGGCATTACATCTCACATTAAAGCCAGCTGGTATAGTACACTTCTCCCAATAAAGTGCTAAATTTTTTTAAATTTTTAACTCCCTCCTATCAAAATTACTCAAAAATGAAGGTTGCACAACAATCTTGTTAAGATAGAAAATGTCTTCCTTACTCCTGTAGCACATCATTTCCCTAAATCTGTTTTATTGCAAGTGCCATCATCCATCTACATAATAACTATCAAATATATTTCCTGCACACTGCACCAAATAATCCTCTGTTGAATGAGTTAGCTTTTATCTGGCACAGTTTGACAATTGTTTTTGAGAGTGAACAACACAGTGTTTTACTGAATTGAGAAACAGTTATGTTGGATTAATTTCTGCTTTAAGAATAAATATTTGTAGTGTGGTTTTTAGAGGCATGGGCAGATAAGAAATGGTCCTCCAAAATGGAATTTCAAAACTGCTATATAGATACTTGTCTTCAGAAGTTCTGGGGAATCTCATGTTGTCAGTGAAAACAGCAGGTGAACCAGAGGACATAGATTTTGAAATAATGTGTGTTTTAGATGTGTAGCAAGGTCTGTCACTGGGAATTACTGCTTATCAAGATCTTCTGATTATATGCCTGCTTTCAGACCCTTTGGAAGTAGGACTTCTGAATGTTAGGATGTGCAGAAAACAAAGGCAACAGGCCCTGACAACTGTAATTCCTCATAGTTTTTCTACCATTTGTCACCTCTGTTTCATCATTACATACATCAGTAAAACTATATATAGCTAAGGAGAAAAGACTGACTTTTATGGTGGTTGTTTATATGAATGACACATTAGAGACCCTTTACTATCATTGCTCCCCAGTTTGCTATGTGTGAAAAATGCATTGCTTAATAATCAAGGATTTGTGTTTTGGGGCACATCTATCAAAAAAAAGAAGTAATTTATCTCTAAAGGCTGAAAGCTTTGGGAAGTAGTAGTCCAACTGTAGGAGGAAAATAATTGCTGTAAGAGACAGCAGTATTCTCCAGAGCTCTGATGAAATGAGCTGTATTTAGCCTTTTACTTGAGGGGAGGTTTCCTAGAGTTTGAAAAAATGAGACTTCTTTGTATTTACTTCTGTGTCTTATAATAAATGTGTTTGAAGTCTAACTAGCCACACAGGAAAACTGTTTCTGGCCAACTGGTTATAAAGAGTGTAGACGTATCTGCCACGATATCTTATGATCCCATATACACAATATCTAATAATTAGACATAAATTAATTTCTACTCTACTTAAGAGTTTGACAAGACTTTTAAAATGAAGACATTGGTGCATTAGTTCACCAAATTTGTACTTCTGTGGTGGACTTGGTTTCACATCCCCACTAGGTAATCAGCTGTTTATCCTTCTGTTCTGTTTCTGGCTTTTTCCCCAGGCCCTAGGGAGTAAAGCTCTATGAACTGACTGGATTAACAAATTAAAGCTGCTTGCCATGTGGTCAGGTAAGCCTTAGAGCCCTTCCTTGAGCTTCAGAGTGAAGAGCAGGACTATCCCTTTCACTAACACCAAGACATTTAATCAGCTTAGCTGTATATAATCTAACCACATCTTTGGTGACCTACAGACCAGTCTTACTAATTAGACATGAATCATCTTTGTGCCAAAATAGGCTGATTTAGAATATATCTCATTACATTTGAGTGACAAAATATTTTAGGAATCACAATATTAACGCTTCTGCATATCATATAACAGATGTATTAAAGTACAATAACAGCAAGCTGTTTTGGGGAGAGAGGTATTTTGGGTACACAGGAAAAGCCATTGCCAATAAGTAAAATCAGATGCACTTCTTCTGGACTAGGAAAACAGAGGAAAGAGTTTAATAGCAAAAAGTAAAGTAGTTGTGAAGACTCTAATAATACTACCTGTGGTAGGAGTTCATCCTGTAGTTCATTCCATTGTTAACTGTCTCACAAAGTAATGTCAAGTCTTACACTCCTCTCTAATATTTTTTCCGCAAGTCCTATATTTGGGTTACATCTGCTGGGAAGCATCTCTGCCTCCAGGTGAAGCTACTTGTGTAGCGTCAATAGATCATTTTAAAATTATGTTCCACATAACAGCACTGAGTTAACAGTATGCCTTGAGAATCTCTGGTTGTTTTTTTTTTTTAATTATTATTATCTGGTCTATGCAATTTCTTCCAAACTACTGTCAGTGTTGCTCTGTCAACATGTGCAGAAGGTTATGGAAGGGGGAAGAATGTGCATTGCCTGGAGGACATAAAACTGTATGAAGTTACCATTGTCTACTTGCTTCCATTACCCCTCTGAACTTCTTTGTATTACCAGCGACACCCTCAGTAAGAGCGGCAGCTATGGGTTCTTTTTACATAACACATCAAGACTTAAGTTACTTTTCCACAAATGTTCTTAATCTGCTTGAGAAAGCAGTGTTGATTTAATCACATAAGTTTCAAACTTAGAAATAGAATGTGTATTTTACACATCACTGAAATGGTATTCTTTTTTTTTTTTTTTTTTTTTCTTTTTCCAGATTGTCCAGAAAGATGCTATGATCTGGAAAGGAAAACTTAGGTCCACATCATGAACTTATAACTCTTTGTTTCATTAGACCATTCTAAACAGATTCAGACCAGTCCAGTCTACCTTAGACTTATGTGAGTTATTTAAGACAGTTGTTTGGAAAATTCTTGAGCCATCTGGTTTTCTAGAAAAGATTTATCACACCTATTGCACAATAGTATCTTTTGGAATGTATCTTGCTTTTAAATTATCAATGATGTATTTTTCTTTGCATCAGTAGAGCACAGAAGCCTGAAGTTTGATTTCAGACTTCCTTTTGAACCTCAGAAGAATCTGAGCTATAAAACTGGTCATCTTTCCAGAAGGTTCTTTAAGGGTGTCACTTTACATTTCAGAAATGAAATTTGTAAGTTTCAGGGATGAAATCATGTCTGCATTAACTGTACCAGAGAAAGTATTCTTACTGTTGAGCGTTAATTTAAATGGTTGTTGTGTTGACGATTTCACTACATTTTCCCTGGAATTTATAAATCCTATTTGGGTATAGCAATGGTGGGCATAGAGAAGCAATGTTATAAGCAGTGTGTCTACTCATTCTAGGCATATTTTATTATTTCTCTTGTTGCTTTTAGATCAACATTTCTCTCTTTAAGTCCATTTTTCACAGTTTTTATGAATAGTACCATGTCATATCAAATACATATCAGTTGTAGGATACATTATGGTAATAAGGCGTGCATAACAAAGTTCAACAAAGACAAATGTAAGGTTTTGCACCTGGGAAAACATAATCCAGGAGTGCAGCACAGGCTGGGATCTACCTGGCTGGGAAGTAGCTCTGTGGAAAGGGACCTGGTGGTCCTGGCAGACAGCAAGCTCAGTATGAGTGAACAGTGAGCTGCTGCGGCAAATCAAACCAACTGGATGCTGGGTTGCATGAACAAGGGCATCACCAACAGAGATGAAGTCATTATCCCACTCTACTCAGCGCTTGTCAGGCCACACCCAGAATACTGTGTTCAGTTTTGGTCCCCGCTATACAAAAAATATGTGGACAGGCTGGAGGGGGTCCAGAGAAGGGCCACAAAGATGATCAAAGGACTGCGAAGCTTCCCTGTATGAGGAAATGCTGAGAGAACTAGGTTTGTTCAGCCTTGAAAAAAGAACGCTTAGGGGAGACCTTATCACCATGTTCCAGTATTTAAGGGGTGGCTACAAAGAAGATGGAGACTCCCTTTTTAGAGGGAGTCATATGGAAAAGATGAGGGGCAATGGGTACAAGTTACTCCTGGGGAGATTCTAATTGGACACTAGAGGAAGATTTTTTCGCAATGAGAACAATCAGCCATCGGAATAATCTCCCCAGGGAAGTGGTGGATTCCCCAACATTGGACACTTTTAAGACTTGGCTGGACAGGGTGCTGGGCCATCTTGTCTAGACCATGCTTTTGTCAAGAAAGGTTGGGCCAGATGATCCTTGAGGTCCCTTCCAACCTGGTATTTTATGATTCTATTGACTCATACTTTGCATGGGTTTAATAATTTTAATTGAAAGGACTTAGCGAATTTTAATAAAATTACTTTGTAGTGTTCCTGTGAAGTAGATAAATATTACCCATGCAGGTATGCAGGAAAGTTAGACTAACATTTTCCAAGAAAAGCCACCTCCTTCAGTCAATATGTTTGGAAGATACCTTGTAAGTATCTGTGTGTGTTTTTTGTTTAAGGCCTGTTTTTTTTTGAAAACAGTAAAATAACTACATGCATTGACTTCTGGAGTGCTAAGCATTGTTTTTTAGTCTTTGGTCAGTGATACAGAATGTGGGTGCATATGGGAAGAGTAAGACAAGTCTCAATAGAATCCCTCTTCCATTAAAAAAATTCTGAAGACGACCTGAAGTGGCCCATAAAGGTGTTCTGTTTAACAGAACCTATTGCTAGCAAGCATTTCAATGTTTCTTTCTTCATGGTAACAACACTGAACTTTAAAGAGTTTATCAATTATCATTGTTCAAGCTTAGGATTATCTGTGTTGCCTACTTGGGATTTCTACACACTATTTAACAACAGCATTTTGCTGTCTCCCAGCAAAAATACTCACTGCTGTCAGTCTGAACTTCTTTCTCCTCTTTGTGAAGCTGTGAATTGATATCAACATGCTATAAACCTACCTATTTAGCAAAACTACTTTGTTGAAGAAAGTGTTTGAAATAAACTCAGTCAAAAGTCAAAATAAAAAAAAAGTGTCATTATTGTACATAAAAAATGAGGCAGGAAAACTGTAATAAAAGCAGCTGAAACAAAGACAGTCCTCCCCCACACCCCTAGTAGAACTGGTGAAAAAAAAAGTGTGAAACTGATTAAAGAACTGGTTCATTCATCTGTTAGAGTGCACATGTGATTTCCCTAGACTACTAAAATAATGTTAGAAGCATTCAGCAGCTGTGATATAGTTTGAAAGTTCTGGAATTTGAGAGCTGTCAATTTCATAAGGAATTTTACTACAGTAAAGACTGTACCAATCCTGCAGGTGTATAGTGTTGGAACCAGCTGCAGAAAACAATTACAGAATTAGTCAGCTGGTTCCTTTCTAAAAGAATAAGGGGTCTTAGCACAAGTTACAGATATGAATATAAAAAATGCAAGAACAATGAAAATTGTGGCACAGGAAAATATTCTATTTAAGTAAAATTAGAGAGCGTTTCACTGAACTCAATGGAATTATTGATAAAAGATTAAAGCATTGGACCCAGCTTGTCTGTCCTGAAATTGACTTCTTGTACCTGTGGATACCATGAAGATACTTTCACGAATATCTGTCTTCTGATCACAGCTGAGAATGTGATTGCCCTCTCCATGATTGAAAAGGTTACACAGCATCTTAAAAGCAAACCCTCAAATCGCTCTATGCATAAGCTAGCAAATGGTGTTTCATCAGAAATAGGAATGATATTCTAGTGATAACTTAGTTTTTTTCCCCTGAAGTGTGAATGTGTGAAGCAAGTCAGAACCAGTTTTATGACTTCAGTACGAGCATTGACTTCCTGGTGAAATTTTTGGCATCGCCCAGGGTCTGTATCTATATTTTCTTTTGTCATGCCTAAATCAGATTTTGTCAATTCCTGTTTATCCACTAATCTTGAATAGGGAGAAAAGCCCATAACAGAAAGCCTACAGCTGTGCACCTGGCCTATAGAAACAAGTGCAGAAGCCACAATAAGCAGTTCCATCTGCTAGAGACTAGAATACAGATTGCTTTGTTAGACTATTCCACTAAAAACAGTTTGTGTATTCCCACATGTTGCATTTCTTGGGAAAATAAGTCTCACACATAGTAATGTAGTATGAAATTACAATTCCTTATACAATATTTTTCTTTTCTCTTTCTGTAGCCAAAAAGCCAATTAACTTAATTGTCAGGGAGAAATTTAACTATAAATAAGCCTGTAATTCTAATCTATCTGTGGCAGTGATACCGGATAGAGGCTGTTATTGCAACTTGCTAGATATTACTGGTTAACTTTGTATTTAAAATAAATTCTATTAGATTAAAAAGTCAAGATACAAGTAAGCTGTGTGAATTATTTTCATTGTGGCAGTCTGTTATCAAAGCTTTTTTTACCTGGGAGAAGACCAAATGCATTTTTGGAAATGTTACACTCACTGCATATACACAGATAAATCTATGCATGGTCAGTGTGCCCCATCACCAGGCTGGCAAGGAGGTGTCGTATACGCTCTACCACAAGAATGAAATCTATGGCCCACCTCTTTTTCCATGCTGGATACCGCAGTTTTAGTACAGTGACAGTTTTGCATTATGGAAAAATAAGGGGGAAAATGCAGATAATGCCTTGAATCAAAATTGTAAAATATTCATATAACTCTTCTTTCACTATTAAAACATAACCTTATTAAATTTTTCATATAGCTATGGTTATAAGCAAAAAACCAGCTAAAAACCAAAAAATGAACAAAGCGAAAAAGCTGACCAAAACCTAATGGACTAGATAAGTGAGGCTAATTTGGAATCAAGGAGCAATATGCCAGTGGATGAATCTCTAGATTTTGTCTTTCCATTATAACTGAAGGTCTTAGATGTATTTTTTACAACACAATTATGAAGTAACTGCTCAACTTGTACTTTAACAGTAACTCACTTAAAAGCAGAAGACCATTCATTTACAAAAAGTAATTCTTTCGTCACCTATGTGTTCTAAATATTATTGTCCATCCAGGGAAACAGGTATGAAGGAAGTTGTCTGAAGTTGCAGAATAAGTCAGGCAAACCTAGAAACTGAATTGGTCATATCTTCTTACTGCTATGCCTCCTGCCTCTATTTTTTTCATCTTCTGTTCCTTGGACTGGAACAAAAATAAAAAAATTAAGCATTGCATAGTTTGCATTTTACAGGAAAACGTAATTACTGTGGCCCATCACCATGAAAAAACCCCCAAAATTCTGAAGACAAGAACAATTGTTATGAACTCCTGTTTGGAGATCATCTTGCTTTTCTACAGTTTGTAATGTTTAGCACCTGTTGAAGAAATGTCTTCTATAAATAACTGTTTTCTGTTTCAGGCAAAATTTACATTGAAAATTATCTTGGTGCAGCTGTTCCGTTTTTCTACAATTGTGAATTGCCAAAAAAGGAACAGTAATTCCTTGGGGGCCTCAGAGTTAAATCCTTTTTATTTAACATGATACTATGTAGTGGAGCTGTGATCAAAATCTATTATTGCTAGCTGTTCTTAGATTTGCTAAAACCGAGAACTGAAAAGCCCTTTGTAGATGATCCTCACTCTTTTACAATTTCTGGCTTTCCAGTTCCATAATTACTGGCCCTGATGGCACACTGCCCCAAAAATGAATACTTTGATAATTTGCTACTCTCTTGTAAGCCTTGTCACCTTCGATGTTCTAGTACACCGCCGCCTGCATGTGAAAACTACTGTGATAAGAGTAAGTAATATTTCTGCAATACTTTGTGGCTATGCTGGGCATTTTCATGTTGTAATTGTAAACATAAAAACCTAAAGAAATCTAAAACCTGGAAAGAGTTTATCAGGATAATATATGGGCTCAAAAATATTAAAGTAGTATGCACTGTGTCCTGTATGAGTATGTGTGTTAAGAAGAATAAATTTTTAAAGCTCTCAAGCTTTATTTGAGCTGTCACTCAATAGAAACAGA